CTGTTTTTTTGGGGCTGGGTTAATATGATTTAAATTGTTCTGGCATGCATACTGCTGTTAGCTTGAGGGGTCCAAATACTAGGGGAGATAGCTCCTGCTGGGAAATAGGAATAGACCATGTCTATTGTAGAACGGCTCGAGCAGCATGGAGACTATGGCTTTGGGTCAGATCTCCGCTATACCCGAGCTGCTGTCCCAGCTGCAAGCTCGGTTACTATGGGTCGCAAAAGCTGAATGCGGTGCCGTGTACCATGCCACACCACACTGGGAGGGGGGTCATGCATCTCCTTTCTTATCGATATTGTTTTGTTTGCACTGTTATTTGGATTGTTATCCTTTGAATTCACACTGTTTTCTGACCTACCCCCACATAGGGATACCCCGTGCATTGTGCAACGGGTGGATACATTTGTTGACCTTACCCGTACCGGTAGTCCAGTCGGGTTGCAATCACCCACTGGTGCATTGCTACCACACCTGCTAGTCTTCTCTTGCCTAATCCTGTTCTTTCTCTTCGCTCTACTTTTTCCTTACTACGGTCTCATTCTCTCTTGCTTTACCTCGTCTGGCTCTTTCCGCCCCTCTCCCTCTCTTTCCACCTGGGCTGCTCCCCGCGCCTCCCCCTGCTATAATGGCAGACACAGTTTTTACGTCCCTGAATGCAAAGGGGTAAATATCCCTGAAAAGCGATCCACACTGCTGGCGGACTTGAAGAAGGCTAGATCGCAAATTGTGTTCGTTCAGGAAATGCATTTCAAAAAAGATCAGATCCCCAGGTTGGGCAATAGGGATTACCCCTCTGTATATCAATGCCCCTCTCCAGTTTCAAAGACCAAGGGTGTATCTATTCTTATTGCTAAGACCGTCCCATGGGCTTATACCGATCAGTACGTGGCCCCTAATGGGAGGTTCTTGCTCCTGAGGGGGGCAATAGGTGGTGTGTCAGTGACCCTAGCTAACGTGTACTTCCCAAACGCAAATCAATTGGGGTTTATCCGCACTCTGATCCAGGTTCACTTGGAATTCTCGGACGGCATGCTGGTACTCGGAAGGGACTTCAACTTTGCAATGGACCCGCTGGTGGATGTCTCTAGGGGAACTTCCCATCTGGCCTATTCATATTTGAAAAGATTGAAGTCCGAGCTCCATCTCCTACACTTGACAGACACATGGAGGTTTATGCACCCACGGGACAGGGATTACACCTTTTTCTCGCGAGTCCACCAGACCTATTCCAGGATAGATTACTTTTTTGTCGAGCATACTACCCCAGGTACTACCCAGGTGCGCTCGGCTACAATCGACAGTATTCTTTTATCTGACCATGCCCCCATACACATGTCTCTATCCTTGACAGCGCCTGTCTCTCCATGCTATATGTGGCCCCCAAACAAATCGTTATTGCAGGATATCCAAGTCACGACAGAATTGGAGGCAGAACTGTCCTCCTTCTTTGCTAATAACGTTCCCTCTTCCCCCTCACCTATGATCACCTGGGAGGCCCACAAGTGTGTCGTTAGGGGCATACTAGTGAAACATGGGGCCCGCAAGAAACGCGAGGGGGCAAAACTCCTAGCTCACCTGTTCAGCCGTCTCCATTCCCCGGAAGCTGCACATAAACGGTCAATGGCTCTGGCAGCTCAAGCTGAGCTCCAGGCGGTCAGTCTGGAAATAAACAAACTGTTGTTCACTAAGGTCAAACGATGAATGAGGAACGGTAGAAGGATGTTCTACGAGTTCTCTAACAAACCCGGGAGGATGCTAGCAAGGGCCTTGAGGGGTATGCAAAGCAGGACCTTTATCTCCCAAATTGTAACGCTTACTGGGCACACAGTGACATCATCTGTAGAGATAGGGGAAGAGTTTCGGGCCTTCTACGATAGTCTTTACAACTTGCATCCCCCGGGGGCTGGGCAGGCCCATTCCGAACCCACTCCTGAGGATCGGTCTTATGTTGGTGGTTCTGGTATGCCTGTTCTATCCACCGAGGATGGGGACCTGATGGAGGCCCCGATTTCCTTGTCGGAATAGGAACTTGTGATCAGAGCTACCAAACCAGGAATAGCCCCGGGCCCCGACGGTTTCACGGCCGCTTACTACAAGCTGTTTTCCTCTCAACTCTCTACTCACTTCCTCGTGGCATATAACTCTATGTTACAGGACTCCCCCATCCCTAAAGACATGTTAAGAGCATGGATCACCCTTACCCCCAAGGGGGACCGTGATCCCATGATTTGTGGCAACTATCGCCCGATTGCATTGTTGAATGTAGACCTTAACATTTTCTCTAAGATTATAGCTAACCGGTTGCTTCCCCATATGCCTCAGCTTATCCATCAGTGGCCAAGTGGGCTTTATCCCATCTAGGGAAGCGAGGGACAACACCTCCAGGGTCCTCAATGTCATTCACCTAGCTAACTCGCGTAGGGCACCCTTAGTATTGCTTTCCACTGATGCTGAGAAAGCTTTTGACAGGGTCCGCTGGGGTTTTATGCATGCAGTACTGCAACATATTGGTCTGGGTACCAATATGCCTAAATGGGTCTCTGCACTTTACTCATCACCATCTGCGGCTGTACGGGTGAACAAGACTAGATCCACAGACTTCTTACTATCTAATGGCACTCGACAGGGTTGCTCGCTCTCGCCCCTAATCTTCGATCTTATTCTGGAATCATTCCTGGGCACGGTGCGGAAATCGTCCAACATACAGGGCTTTCACACACCGGTAGGGGAACAAAAAGTAGCGGCATATGTGGACGACATAATTTTTTTCCTTGCAGACCCCATGGGCTCCACTCCAAGGATCGGTCTTATGTTGGTGGTTCTGGTATGCCTGTTCTATCCACCGAGGATGGGGACCTGATGGAGGCCCCGATTTCCTTGTCGGAATAGGAACTTGTGATCAGAGCTACCAAACCAGGAATAGCCCCGGGCCCCGACGGTTTCACGGCCGCTTACTACAAGCTGTTTTCCTCTCAACTCTCTACTCACTTCCTCGTGGCATATAACTCTATGTTACAGGACTCCCCCATCCCTAAAGACATGTTAAGAGCATGGATCACCCTTACCCCCAAGGGGGACCGTGATCCCATGATTTGTGGCAACTATCGCCCGATTGCATTGTTGAATGTAGACCTTAACATTTTCTCTAAGATTATAGCTAACCGGTTGCTTCCCCATATGCCTCAGCTTATCCATCAGTGGCCAAGTGGGCTTTATCCCATCTAGGGAAGCGAGGGACAACACCTCCAGGGTCCTCAATGTCATTCACCTAGCTAACTCGCGTAGGGCACCCTTAGTATTGCTTTCCACTGATGCTGAGAAAGCTTTTGACAGGGTCCGCTGGGGTTTTATGCATGCAGTACTGCAACATATTGGTCTGGGTACCAATATGCCTAAATGGGTCTCTGCACTTTACTCATCACCATCTGCGGCTGTACGGGTGAACAAGACTAGATCCACAGACTTCTTACTATCTAATGGCACTCGACAGGGTTGCTCGCTCTCGCCCCTAATCTTCGATCTTATTCTGGAATCATTCCTGGGCACGGTGCGGAAATCGTCCAACATACAGGGCTTTCACACACCGGTAGGGCAACAAAAAGTAGCGGCATATGTGGACGACATAATTTTTTTCCTTGCAGACCCCATGGGCTCCACTCCCCATCTTTTAGCGGCTCAGGACGAATACGGGAGGCTCTCAGATTTCAAAGTGAATATCTCAAAATAATCAGCTCTGAATATTACTCTACCGACCCAGATACTTTCACGCCTTAGAGCAGATTTTCCGTTCACGTGGGTTAACGATCACCTCAAATATCTGGGGACTAAAATCACTTCAGACGTGCAAGACATATACTCGGCCAACTTTGCCCCTTTGCTCACGGAACTCCTCACAGACATGAAACAATGGTCTGCACTTACCATCTCGTGGTTTGGTAGATGTGCTGCCATAAAGATGAACATATTGCCCCGGGTTCTGTACTTGTTTCAGGCTCTACCAATCTATCTCCCATCCAGCTTTTTTTCAGCGCCTGCAGAGGGCAGTAATGTCCTTTGTTTGGTCTGGATCTCATCCGCGATTGAGTAGGAAAACACTAACCCTTCCAAGGGGCAGGGGAGGGGTGGGATTGCCTGACTTCCATTCCTATTTTAAAGCAGTTCACCTTAACAGGATCTTAGATTGGCATGTCCACAAGAGATGGGTCTCCTTAGAGAGGGCTGTACACCAGCTCCCGATAGAAGGGCTCCCGTGGCTTTCCTCCCCACTACCGTCCGCGGTGAAGGGACACCCGTTGATTGCCTCTACCATCCGTACCGCTCGCACGGTAATGCGTAACACTTCGTTGGCCCCTACTCCCTCGCCACTGACACCTGTCATAGGGGATCCTGACTTCGCCCCGGATGCGGAAAATGCTCGACTTGCTCGCCTTGTCAAGGCGGACAAATATAGAGTGGGGGACGTTCAGGCTAACTCTGTGTGGCTGACTGCTCAAGCTTTACAACACTTAATTGACCCCCCACTTGACCCATGGAGTGCTATGCAGCTCCGGCACTTTCTTAGGGCAATCCCTGACTCCCAAGAGCTAGACAGACACCTTACAGTATTCGAAGAGATATGCACAGGCTCCCTGCCCTCATGACAAGCCATTTCCATCATCTATAACCTGATTACCACACCTCCTACGGATATGGTCCCATCCTTTGTGAAATGTTGGGAGGAGGAATTAGGGATGACCTTCACGGAACAACAGACACACACCATACTCACCATGTCGGTCAAGTCCTCTATGGCCAGCAAAGTGCAGGAACTCGGATACAAAATACTGTCCCGTTGGTACAGAGTTCCCTGGCTCTTGCATAAAATGAGACCCCTCATATCCGACAGGTGCTGGCGCTGTGGCTCAGATGCAGGCATGATGTTGCATACATTTTGGTCATGTGGAACGTTGAGGCCCTTCTGGGACCAGGTACTGTCCATGATCCAGAGCCTGACCATGGCGGATCTGACAAACAATCCGGAGGCATGCCTCTTACATATGTCAGCGTCCCCATTAACCACTTACAAGCGCTCGCCACCTGTTGGACGCAGCCAGGGCATCCATCCCTCTGCTGTGGAAACAACCCCACCCCCCGTCAATCACGTTATGGTTGTCCAAGGTGCAGGAGGTGTATGCCATGGAAGACTTGACGGCCACCCACCTGGGGGGCTTGGATCTACTTCCAACACTCAGACCGCTATGCAGCTCTCCTGTCTAGAGATGCGCAAGCACTTACTCCTCTGGTCCCTTCCGTCCCCCAGTAGTCGCCCTACATAGAGAGGTGTAGTGAACGATAGTCAGGGCCGGCCTTAGGCCTTTAGGCGCCCTGTGCGAGAAAGCTTTACAGCATCTTCGCCTTTCTTTGGCTGTTCTCTCTTCCTCTCGCATTTCTTTTCTCAGGATACTAGCACAGATACAGAAAATTGGTCTGGCACTATAGCTGGACACACGAACTTACTGTTACTTTATATACCTGACACGGCCAAGGGACATACTCTACTGTACAATCTCGCTATTGTTATTGCAGTCACCTGTCCTATGGGGTATGGGGCGTGAAGGTACAGACCCTGTGCGCTAGTCATGGCGCTGGGAATATTCCAAGAATGTATACAATGTACTTGTATGTTATGTTTCCCTATGCTACTTTTGACAATATGTGTATACTGTACTTGTTCAGACAATAAACGAATTTAAAAAAAATAGAACTCACAATTCCAGGACTGTTGAGTATTCTCCTTTTATTCCCTTTTATTTTACTGTTGTATATATATTGTGTCTCCTTTTATTATTATTTTTCTCTGTACATTTTCTGCACCGTTTCTTTTATTAAAGGACGATCTTAAAAATCGTTAAGCTTAGCTCTACGCTCTAAATACGAACTTAAAGTATCCTTGCCTCTGTGAAGAGTGCTACTGTATAGTGATCAGTCATATTCCTGTCTGAGGGGACAGCGCTATCACAGGCATTGTTTAAGTGTTTTACATTGTTGCAGCACTTGCTGGGCACGGTCTGTGTTTCCGTTAAAAAATACATGGTGGCAGCAAACATTTGGTGGGTAAAGGGGTAACTGCGGAGTTAACCAACCCTAGTGACGATCACTCTCTGCTGGCCTGACATTGTGTCCTACGAGCTGGGAAATCTCTGCGCAGGGTGAGGCTGAGAATGCTATCGCCACGTCCTTGTGACGCCCACGCTCGGTTCAGACTTGTGTATAGTCACGTGTGATTGATGTACAGCGGGTTTGGGCCGGGTGCGCGTCACACATGATTTAGTATACACACAGAAGCGGGCGGAAAAAGCGCGTAGAAGCGCGCAAAAAGACAAGCATAATCTGCACTGAAATGCTGTCGCCTTGGTGTGGACAGGGCCTTAGACACAGTGGTAAATAGGGTTTGTGACTATTTGGTACTGGCCACTAAGGCTGCCTTTATTGTGCTCTTACTATCCTTCTCCTACAGGTGGAGATATAAAACCGCAAGTCTAATAGGCAAGAGCTGTGTCCCTCAATGGACTGAGAGAAAATAACCCAAATTACACAAAATACTATTTTTTTTATATGATATTGAAGTTTTTTATTTCTGTGATTTACACCACAGCAGATTTAATTGTTTTTGGCTGAATATGAAGGACCTTTTTCAGATATGTATCTTAACTTTCAGAACGATGGACATTTTTCTCATTTTTAATCTCTGCAGGATTGGGCGAGCTGGCAAAAATTTACACTGATACTATATGCTCTTCTAAGATTGCCTGCATGGAGGATGCTGTAGCCTCCTTGTCTGACAAAGAGAACCAAAGAGCTCTTCAGGAAGCTATACAGCACTATCAGAACAAGATGGAGGAAGTTAAGTTGCCCACTGAAACAAATGATGACTTCTTTAACATGAGCAGACAGTATGAAGATGAAGCTCGGAAGTTGTTTATGGAAAAATCCTTCAGGGATGAAAACCAAAAGTTTCTTAAAGAATTTATGGTGAGTGCAGAGCATATACAAGATGATATACACCGAAAAAACTAAATTTATAAATACTGTAATTGGAAGTATAGATATCTCAAGATGCAAAACCAGATATTCTCCCATCTGTCAGCCTTGGGGCGATATCTGACCAGGTTCAGAACAGACAAAAACACGCCAGAGAGCCGTGACAGGATCGAGAGGTGAGCGAACCCGGTATGTGTTCGCTCACTTCCCGATCTACTGAGCCGACCTGTGACAGTCTCATTGTCACAGGTCGCCTAGAACTATGAGGTGAGTGAAAAGCACTCACCTCATAGTTCTCCTTTACCCACATCTGCTTCATATTCTCTGGGTTAAGACATTTGTCAAAAATTACTTTTCTTCAACAAGAGAAATGTAGCAGTATAATATGGCAAATGTTACATGTACTATGACCAGAAGGTTTTATATGTAAAGTACAATATACAGTATGTCTAGCTCAAACATTTTTATTTTTGAATGTATTGTGAGGGGTTAAAACCTTTTCAATGTTTTACAACTATCCAAAATTCCCCAAACCTCTTATCCTGCTGACAACCTTTCATCAGACGAGGTGCTGGGGAAAATGTTCAACATCAATAGAGGACAGAAATAAAAATGCTTTTATTTAGTAGAGTAGGGAAGACTAGAACCTCTGTCAGATCTGTATTGCTGTCTGTATCCCTGTAGCAGATTTTCTCTCACTGAAGGTCCAGGTAACAGGAAAACCTGATAGGAGTTTTAATTCTTCCACACACTATCCTAAACTATAAAAAAACATTTTTTGGCTTGATATACACTTACCAGCATGAAATGTTGCTTGTAAAGACATCTTCCTTATACATCCTTCATTCTATTCAGACTGTAGCGCCCTCTCCTATGTCGCTACTAAATTTAGTTTTATATCTGAACTGTAATCAGCCTGGATGCTGATTGCTCTGAGTTCTACAGGTTTCCCTGAGTCTGGTTGATTGATTGAGTCCCCCTGTTGCTGGGTTGGGGCCTCAGAATTCAGTGTGGGAGGATCCATCCTCAGACTGTGATTATACATCTGACTCTGACCAATCCCTGAGCAGTCTGACTCAGAGGTATGACAGTAGGAAGGTGATACATGTTTGCAGACACCTTCCAGAACTCTCTCTCTCCCCTGGGTCTCTCCCTGGGAGGAGGTCTGTGTGGTACAGGATGCCTGGTCTAGACCTCAGCATGTGGCAGATGCTGGGGGCCCAGAGACCTAAAATGGTACTGGAAAGGAACCTGATGGAAGCTGGGCTGGAGGAAGAATCTGCTTACTGAAGAGTGTCACAGAGGAGCTGGTGAGAGCTACCGTCTGGACCCTGTAAGAGATCCTTCGCCCTACTCTCAGGTACTTTACAGAAGAGAAGCCAGTTGGTGCAGTACAAGTCCTGTGACAGTTCTCCTTCAGAGTCCTGGGCGATTCCTGGCTTTTCTCTGGTGCTACTACCTATCACTGGTCGCTCTTATAGGACCTTGTGCTACTGTTACAAGCTAAGAGTGAAGCCACAGTCCTCTATTTTGTTACTCGGGGTATCCTGCAACCCTAACCCTCTCTCCTAGTTACTATTATGCAATAAACACTAAAAAGAACCTACGACTCGAGCCTGTTCTGTTCTAAAAAAGGGCTAGTCGCTGGCAGAGTCAGTTTCTTGTGTTTAGAGTCATTATTTCCTGCCCAAGGGACCTGGCAATTTGCTGTACTCTTTATCTCTTTGGGGACCGGTTCCCTCACCTCTCCTGTGTAGTTCTTTTGTGGCTGGAGATGACATTAGAATGGGCGGCATTATTTTACTATATCAGTCCAACATTCCTGTCCTCACCCGTACCCTTAAAAATGAAGTACTGCCCAAGAGACGCCCACAATTACACTCACCTCGTCTCTTGCAGCCCATGGCCTTGTGGGAGATATAGTTTAGCATCACAGCCAAATACCAGGTTGGAAGTGACACATGCCACCTAGTTTAATTCTCCCACCAGCGCTTGAGTTGTAATGTGTTCAGCGATGAGTGGTGACGTCACAACACTAAATTAATTTTTTTTCTCCAAAAGTGTGCCATTGATCATGAAATCCCTGTTTTACTAAGCTGATATATTAGGAGCTGTAAGTAAGAGCTGAATATGATCCTGGAGTTCGGCTTTAACCTTTTTATCTCTTAAATTGTCTTACTTAAGAAAATAAAAACAAAAAGCAGTGGGATGACTCCCTGGTAAGGAGGTAGTAGACATGTAACCCCCTACAAAGATGATATCTTACCTGCAAGTGGGTGCCTACTGGTTTTAGGGGTCCACTGCATGTTCCTCCAGGAATTGGGGTAACCCTAGAAAATTGAGCTGAACTTGGGCTTAATGCTGACTGGCTGTGAAGCAAGCTTTCTAGGAAGCCGGCAGGTGGGTCATTACTTGCCGCCCGGCTCCCTGATTGGTCGGGAAGCCGGCTCGATGCTGATTGGCTGGGAAGCCGGTTTCCCGGCCAATCACAACCAAGCTGGCCAAACAACATGGAGCGGGCTTCACGGGCAATCAGGAAGCTTAACGGCATGTCATTACTCGCCGTATGGCTTCCTGATTGCCCGGGAAGCCAACTCCATGCCAGTGGAAGCACCGGTATCGGCATTTGGTATCGGTACTCGGTATCAGAGAGTACCGAAAGCAAAATATCGGTACTCGTGCTCGATACCGAAAAACCGGTATCGGTGCATCC